TGCACTCCAGTCTGGGCAACAGAGTGAGACTCCAACTCAAAAAAAAAAAAAAAAAGTTGTAGATTGCTTGTGTTGAATATTTTTAAAGTAAGAATTTCTTTTTTTTTTTTCAATTTTGAGTCTGAGTCTCACTCTGTCATCCAGGCTGGAGGATAGTGGCTCAATCATGGCTCACTGCACCCTCGACCTTCTGGGCTCAAGAGGCCTCACTGGCCTCAGCCTCAATTGCTGGGCCTACAGGCATGCACCACCACACCTCACTAATTTTGTTACTTCTTTGTGTAGACAAGGTCTCCCTATGTTGCCTAGGCTGGTCTCGAATTCCTGGGCTTAAGCATTCCTCTTGCCTCAACCTCCCAAGGTGCTGAGATCACAGGAGTAAGCCACCGTGCCCAGCCTGAATTTCTAATTGTTAAGATTATTCATAGTTAGCGGGGCTTGGTGGCTCAGCCTGTAATCCCGCGCCTTTGGGAGGCTGAGGTGAGTGGATTGCCTGAACCTGCGGATTCGAGACCCGCCTGGGCAGCGAGACCTCATCTCTACAATAAATCAAAAAATCAGCCGTGCGTGGTAGTGCACGCCTGTAATTCCGGTTACTCGGAAGGCTGAGGCGGAAGGATCACTGGAGCCCAGCTGGTCCAGGCTGCGGTGGCCAGGAGCGGCCACTGCACTCCAGTTTGGGCGACAGAGAGAGACTCTAACTCAAAAAAAAAAAAAAGATTATTCATAGTCGTGATATTGAACCCACTCTTTTTTTGTTTTTGTTTTTTTTTTGTTTTTTAGTCGGAATCTCACTCTGTCACCCAGCCTAGAGTGCAGTCATACAATCACGGCAGCCTCCACCTTCTGGGCTCAGGTGATCCTTCCGCCTCAGCCTTCCAAGTAGCTGAGACTAAACAGGCAGGTGCTTCCACACCTGGCTAATTTACCTGGCTAATTTTTTAATTTATTGTAGATAGGAGGTGTCACCACGTTGCCCAGGCTGATCTTGAACCCCTGGGCTCAGGCAATCCTCTCACCCCTGCCTCCCAAAGTGCTGGGATTACAGGCTGAGCCGCTGAGCCCAGCTATTAAGATTTCTTTTTGGTTAGACATACTTCACAGATTTTGACATTTCATTATAAATATGTGATCTTAATGTAATCCCTTGATTTTATATTTTGACTTATTACAAGTTTTAGTTTTTACTCTTGCTATCAGCTATGGGCTGTGGGGTCAGTCGTTTTTCTAAAAAATATGGTTTGCTATGAAGCAAGTTCTTCAGAGAGTCCAGGATTGCAAAGGAAAGCATTTGCAAGGGTCGTTACACTATCACATAAATAAATAGGCCTCAAATAAAGGAGTGACAGTACTTGGCAAAGTCACCCGTGTTACTGATGACGGGACACTCCTGTCTTCACTGCTAAATTAGCTCCCTATCTTACTACATATGATTATTTATTTTGAAGATTTGCTGAACTTCGTAAATAAAAGTTGGAGAATCTGGAAAAAATAATTTGCTTTTTTGCTGTTAAAATGATATTGATGCCAGGCTCAGTGGCTCAGCCTGCAATCCCGCGCCTTGGGAGGCTGAGGTGAGTGGATTGCCTGAGCCCATGGGTTCGAGACCCGCCTGGGCAACTTGGCAAGACCTCATCTCTACAATAAATCAAAATTTAGCCGGGCGTGGTAGCGCGCACCTGTAGTTCCAGCTACTTGGAAGGCTGAGGCGGAAGGATCGCTGGAGCCCAGCAGGTCGAGGCTGCGGTGGCCGCGAGCAGCCACTGCACTCCAGTCTGAGCAACAGAGTGAGACTCCAACTCCAAAAAAAAAAAAACAACAACAAAAAATAAAATAAATAAAATAAAATGATATTGATAAAAGTTACCAGAAACCTATTTGTATCTCTTAATATGTCTGAACACAAAAGAAAAACACCATAGGTAATCACTTTCACTCATTCTTTGTCTATCTTTCCAATTCTACATGGCCAATATTTCCTTAAAAATGTAGCAGAATCCCTGGGCTCGGTGGCTCGGCCTGTAATCCCGTGCTTTGGGAGGCTGAGGTGAGTGGATTGC